CTGTAGCGGCTCCAGCTCGTGCGCCTCCTGCTGCTGCGGCGGCTCCAGCTGCGGCTGCTGCAGCTGCTTCTGCTGCTGCTGCTGCTGCTCCTCCAGCCGCTGCAACTCTCTCTCCTCTCTCTCCAACTCCAGCTGCTCCTCACGGGCACGGCGAACACGAGCCTGGTGCCGGGTCGGGTAGGGGTGGGGGGGAGGAGTAGTGTCGGGGGCTGCGGCAGCCCCGAGACCGCCCTCCAAAGCACCTGGCGCACCACCCCCAGAGTCAGCACCACCAACAGCAACACGACCAGGCTCACCAGGACCCGAAGAAGGTGCACCCGCACCCCCAGACGTAGCACCCCCAAAGTCAGCAGGACCAGCACCAGCTCCCGGAAGACAAGAGTCTCCTGCAACCACGGGCTCAGCTCCAACTCTAGCACCCCCAGAGCTAGCACCTGTAGGGTGCACACAGGGCACCGGCTCCCACAGGGTCTGCAGTAGGCTGCGAGGAGGACTGCGGGGAAGGAGGCTGCACCTGAGGGGCTACCGAGGAGGGAGGGGTAGCCTGGGACACACCTGACGGGGCGGGACCAGGGGGGGGAGGCTGTACCGGGTGAGGAGGAGGGGGAGCGGAAGTCAGGAAGAGAGGGGGAGGAGGAACCGGGAGACCTCGACTGGGGTACCTGACGTAGTAGGGGGTGGACTCCTCAAAACGGACGTCACGGGAGTCAAAGAACCGGTGAGAGGGAGGGTGGTAAAAGGTGAAGTCAGAGGAGTCCTCAGGGAAACCAAGGAAGACACAGGGAACGGCGCGAGGCGAGAGCTTGTCCGCGGAAGTGTCGCGGACAAGAGCCAAGCAACCCCAGACACGAAACCTCGTTGCAACACCAGGGGACCCGGTCCAAAGACTGGTCGGTGAAGCCTCTGGCCGAGAGACGCGTGGCCAGAGGTTCAGCTGGTGAGCGGCGTACCTAACCGCGTAGGGCACGAGCGTGAGTCAAGGAGGTGCGGGCGATCTCCATGACCAAGCCTATGCGGCGCTCAGCAACCCCATCCTGCTGTGGGGACTCTGGAAGCGTCCAGGACTGACGAATGCCCTGCTCGCGACAGAATCCAGCGAGGATGCCGGAGTGAAACTCACCCCCACGGTCAGAGTGAAGACAGCTGACACGACGACCACGAGTGCCCTCAGTGGTAAGCAACCACCTGATCAGCGTAGAAGTCACCTCAGACTTCTTCGCCAGGGGGAACACTGTGGTGTAGCGGGAGTAGTCGTCAACGACCAAAAAGAAACGCTCACGCTCATGGCCAAGGCGAGGGGCGGGGCCCCAGACGTCCAAGTGGAGCGTCTCAAAAGGCTCGGTGGCCGGACGAAGGGAGGAGGAGTGAGGGGTGGCGCGCAGCCGATCCTCGACGCAGGGACCGCACGGCGGTGCAAGCGAAGGTGACAACGACGGCAAGACACGCGGGAGGCCTAAGACAAGTCGCTGACGAGACATAGCGCGCAGACGAGGGAGGGACGGGTGCCCCGTCCGGTGGTGCCACAGAACGGTGGGGTGTGCAAGCGACCGGCAGGAGCACGACGCAGCAACTGGACCAGACATGGGAACCTGACCAGACACAGCTACCTGGGGGGACGCAGCAACCTGGTGACACGCAGGGACCAAACTGGGGGAAGTAACCGGGGCCGGGGGCAGGAGTCGCTGCTGCTGCTGCTGCTGCTGCTGCTGCTGCTGCTGCTGCCGCCGCCGCCGCCGCTGCTGCTGCTGCTGCTGCTGCTGCTGCTGCTGCTGCTGCTGCTGCACACCAGGGTCAGTGTGAAGTGTGTAGAGACCTGAGCCCGGCTCCGCTGTAAAGGTGGCAAGAGGCGCGTAAGTGTCTCCGTCAACACAAACCGCCGTCTCACCAGAGGGCTCAATCCACACACCCACGTGCTGACTCACAAGAGGCCTCACGCCCACCAAGTTCCTCGAGAACGAGGGGACATGAAAGCCAGTCAGAGACCCAGAGGGAATAGCAGGGCACGGAAGAGTAGTAGTGTAGCGAGCAGTGACTGGTCCCGAGGTGGGATCAGCCAGTGCCACAGAGACTGGCGCAGGAAGCGGAGTAAGTGTCGTGTGGTCCCTGAAGAAGCAGTGCGAAGCCCCAGAGTCCAAAGTGAAAGACAGCGAAGCGTCCGCCGAACGAGCTCCTGGACTAGTGTCTACACAAGTGCCTACACTAGCAAGAGGCAACTCAGCAAGACAAGCACCTAAGCTAGCAACACTCGAGTAAACAGAGTCAGAAGCACTAGAGTCAACAACAGCATACATAGCATGAGGAGTTCCTAAGAGATCAAGCAACTGAGAAGCTGACATGCCCGAAAGGGCAGGGCCGTACGTTTGAACAAGAGGAAACCAGTCAGGGGCAGGGCCTCCAACGCCGTAGGCCAAGCGAACCGTGTCAGTGAGCTGAGCAAAGCACTGACCAGGAGGGTGGGTGCGACCACAAGGCTGGCCCCGGCGAGCACCTGTCAAAAGCTGATAGGTGCACGAAGGGTGAACAACACCTCGCTGAGGCTGACGCTGTCCTGGCCCCGAATCCTGCTGCTGCCGCTGCTGCTGCGGGGGCTGCTGCTGCTGCTGCTGCCGCTGGGCCAGGTACCACGCCGCTGCTCCACCCGCCGCGGCCGGCAGACCAGAAGGTGGCTGACGAGCCTGGGCGTCGCCTCCACCAGCTGCAGTAGCGGGGTCACCGGCCGCTGCACGAGACGCCTCTCCAGGCCCTGCACTCCCGCCGCCACCAGTCGGCACGCCACCCCCGCCACCTCCACCGCCAACGCCTCCACCGCCGCCGCCACCTGTACCCTGACCGCCCCTCTTGCCACCTCTACCTCGAGACCGCGAAGAAGTCGTAACAGCAGCTGCGGTCACGTCAGTAGCAGCAGTGGCGAGAGAAGCTGTAAAGGTGGGCAATTGAGGGACAGTGCACCCGTGGAACAGTGGAGGGGGCACAGCACCAGAGGCGGAGGCTACGGAGCAGAGGTTGCTCTCGACGTCCTTGAGCGCAGACTCAAGGACGTCGATAGTGAGCTCACTAGGGTGCTTCAGAAGAAGCGTGTCACGGACTGAGGCAAGGCGGTCAGGGAGGCTAGTGGCGATGAAGTAGATAGTAATCGCCATGGGGGGAGGGAGCAGTGCAAGCTGTGCGTCAGTGCAGGCAGCGCGGTAGCTAGAATCAAGCGAGCGGAGGTGAGCAATCAAGTCAGCAGAGCGCTCAAACGAGGCGAGGTCAGGGAACAGGAACGGTAGGAAGAGTCGGCCAAGAGAGACAGTGGTGGGAGTAGTGTAGCGGGCCTTAATCGCAGTCAGGAACTCACTAGCAGTGCGAACCTGAGTAAAGTGGGCCTCCTCAGACTCAGGGAGGAGGCTGCTAAGAGCGATGCAGGCCGCAGCGTCACGCGACTTCCACGCCGTTAGGTCAGCACGCTGGCTGGCAAAGCGGGCTCTACCAGCGTCGTCAGGGGCATAGCCTAAAGGCGTAGGGTCGTCGGGCGCAGGAAGGTCACCAGTAGCGTGCGCCTAGAGGGACTCACCCGCCTGGACCTGACTCTCTAAAAGGCGACGCGCGCGCAGGAGCCAGACCGAGAACTCGAGGGGTCGACCGTCAGCGTCAAAACGAAGAACTCTAGGAGTCGCCATAGTGGAAGTACGAGCGACAGGACGCGTAGTAGAGCTGAGGGAGGGCTCGCAGCAGGCCTAACAAGCAGGCGCAGCGGCGGAGAAAACGAGCAGACGTGGCAGCGCGAGCAAGCAGGCACGCGCGCAGAAAGAGACAAGACAGCACATCGGGCGAAGGGCGGGCGTGCGTAGAAACGGGCGCAGCGAGCACTCAGGCGTAGGGCGCAGGGCGCGGGGAGGCGCGGGTGCAGGGCGCAGGGCGCGGGGAGGCAAGGGGCGCAGGGCGCAGGGCGCGGGGAGGTGCGGGCGCAGGGCGCAGGGCGTAGGGAGGCGACGGGCGACGGGCGCAGGGCGAGGGTAGGGACGCGACGGCGGGCAGGCGCGACGCGACGGGCGTTTAGGGCAGCGGGGGGAGGGCGCTTCGCGACGAGTAGCGGGGGAGGGCACGACGGGACGACGTGGGGGGAGAGCGCGACGCGACGGGGGCTGGGGAAGGCGCGATTCGACGGGCAGCGGGGGGGAAAACGCGACTCGACGGGCAACCGGGGGAAAAACGCGACTCGACGGGCAGCAGGGGGGGGAAACGCGACGGGCAGCAGGGGGGAAGGGGGGGGAGAAGGTCGCTACGCTACGAGAGCAGTGGATCGGCGGGACGAGTGGTAACGAACGAACGCGACTAGAGCGGGCCGGCGCTAGGCTCAGGCAAGACGTGCGCAACTAGTACGACAGAGTGAGACAGGCTCGGGCGAAACGAACGAGGTCGGGAGAAGCGGGATCCCACAGGATCCGAACCTAGGTGATACCATGTCAAGAAAGGAAGTGATGATGTCATTGATGTGAGTTGGGGTACATATGACAAACCCTAACCTCTGTACCCCCTAAGACAAACCTCACTATAGGCTACAACATTTGACAGCAATGTCCCACGTCTTACACCTCTGCACCGAACCACTCGGCAAATTGGCCCCAGTGACCATGAGTGTGTCTAAAATTTCCCGCGTCGCGCTCCCAACGTTTGGGGATTCACGCCGGGAATTTTGACGATTGTGTTTCTTCGGTGGGTTTCGCGTGGTTTCGCGTGGGTCTTGCTAGGATCTTTCGAACTGTTTTGGCATCCCTCCATTGGATGCGACTGTTGTGGGGAGCGTGATTTTGGCGCGAAAATCCTCGCGGCTCTTTGGGGGTCGCATGAGTTCGGATGACCCAAAGTGGCGTTTTATGTTGTTTGGGTCATCCGCAAATTGCGGATGCCCGGAACAGTGCTCATGACCCGAACATGGATACGCCCTCATACCCATATGAAATGAAGCACGATGCCTTTACAAGTTGGTGAAAGCAAGCTTTCACAATCCACAGATTCAGTTAAAACCCCCCCGCACCCCCAGCCATGTATCTGTTTGTAACATGTTGCGAGCTAAACTCTACAGCATCACCAGCAGAAAGCAGAGGCAGACTGGATTTACTCGCGCTTTTAGACGATTCCCGCCGCGACAGCCCCTTGCCTTTCCCATCCCTTCCAACAGCACCCTCCTTCCCACTCTCTCCCGTCCCCTCCTTGCTCCCTGCTGGTCTGCCCACCTCTTGGTACCGATGCTTCTTCTTCTCCTTTCCACTCCCACCACCCCCTGCCTGGTCAACCCGCTGGGCAGGAGCCGAAACGGTCCTACTGAAACTCCTGCTACTGCCTGACCCAGACCCTCCTCCCCCTCCTCCTCCTCCACCTCCTCCCCCACTCCCTCCCCCGCCCCCACTCCCCCACCGGCCAGCAACAACAGCACCAGCAGCAGCACCACCAGCCGCAGCACCACCACCAGTAGAGGCAGAAGTAGGTAAGGGGCCGGCAAGCGTGGGCTGGAAGTTATACTTGGGCTCTTCTCCCTGAATATGTAAATCTTGCACCTTGTGCTGGATGGCGGAGAGGCGAGTTGCCACCTCAGCCATGGACGGTCGCTGGGCGGCACTCTTTTGGACGCACATGGCTGCCACGCTGGCGAGCGCTTTCATTGCTCCCGGGGGGTAGTTGTTTTCGAGGGCTGGATCGACCACTGACTTGAGCTTGCCTGCTGCTATCAGCGGAATGGCCTGGATGGAGGGAAGGGAGGGGAGGCACAGAGAGAGGGAGAGGAAGAGGGAGAGGGAGACAAGGGACAGCTTAGAGTCGACAGGCTTGAGCAGGGGTAGTTGTTTTCAAGGGCTGGGTCGACCACAGACTTGAGCTTGCCTGCTGCTATCAGGGGAATGGCCTGGATAGGGGGTAAGGGAAGGGAGGGAAGGAGGGGGCGTGCGAGAGGGAGAGAAGGGACAGCGTAGAGTCGACAGGTTCGAGCAGGAGTAGTTGTTTCCGAGGACCGGGTCTGCTACGGCCTTGAGCTTGCCTGCTGCTATCAGCGGAATGGCCTGGATGGATGGAGGGGTGGGGGGAGGGGTGTGCGAGAGGGACACCAGAGACAGCTTAGTGTTGACTACAGACTTGAGCTTGCCTGCTGCTATCAGCGGAATGGCCTGGATGGATGGAGGGGTGGGGGAGGGGTGCGAGAGGGACACCAGAGACAGCTTAGTGTTGACTACAGACTTGAGCTTGCCTGCTGCTATCAGCGGAATGGCCTGGATGGATGGAGGGGTGGGGGAGGGGTGTGCGAGAGGGACACCAGAGACAGCTTAGTGTTGACTACAGACTTGAGCTTGCCTGCTGCTATCAGCGGAATGGCCTGGATGGATGGAGGGGTGGGGGAGGGGTGTGCGAGAGGGACACCAGAGACAGCTTAGTGTTGACTACAGACTTGAGCTTGCCTGCTGCTATCAGCGGAATGGCCTGGATGGATGGAGGGGTGGGGGAGGGGTGTGCGAGAGGGACACCAGAGACAGCTTAGTGTTGACTACAGACTTGAGCTTGCCTGCTGCTATCAGCGGAATGGCCTGGATGGATGGAGGGGTGGGGGAGGGGTGTGCGAGAGGGACACCAGAGACAGCTTAGTGTTGACTACAGACTTGAGCTTGCCTGCTGCTATCAGCGGAATGGCCTGGATGGATGGAGGGGTGGGGGAGGGGTGTGCGAGAGGGACACCAGAGACAGCTTAGTGTTGACTACAGACTTGAGCTTGCCTGCTGCTATCAGCGGAATGGCCTGGATGGATGGAGGGGTGGGGGAGGGGTGTGCGAGAGGGACACCAGAGACAGCTTAGTGTTGACTACAGACTTGAGCTTGCCTGCTGCTATCAGCGGAATGGCCTGGATGGATGGAGGGGTGGGGGAGGGGTGTGCGAGAGGGACACCAGAGACAGCTTAGTGTTGACTACAGACTTGAGCTTGCCTGCTGCTATCAGCGGAATGGCCTGGATAGGGGGTAAGGGAAGGGAGGGAAGGAGGGGTCGTGCGAGAGGGAGAGAAGGGACAGCGTAGAGTCGACAGGTTCGAGCAGGAGTAGTTGTTTCCGAGGACCGGGTCTGCTACGGCCTTGAGCTTGCCTGCTGCTATCAGCGGAATGGCCTGGATGGATGGAGGGGTGGGGGGAGGGGTGTGCGAGAGGGACACCAGAGACAGCTTAGTGTTGACTACAGACTTGAGCTTGCCTGCTGCTATCAGCGGAATGGCCTGGATGGATGGAGGGGTGGGGGAGGGGTGCGAGAGGGACACCAGAGACAGCTTAGTGTTGACTACAGACTTGAGCTTGCCTGCTGCTATCAGCGGAATGGCCTGGATGGATGGAGGGGTGGGGGAGGGGTGTGCGAGAGGGACACCAGAGACAGCTTAGTGTTGACTACAGACTTGAGCTTGCCTGCTGCTATCAGCGGAATGGCCTGGATGGATGGAGGGGTGGGGGAGGGGTGTGCGAGAGGGACACCAGAGACAGCTTAGTGTTGACTACAGACTTGAGCTTGCCTGCTGCTATCAGCGGAATGGCCTGGATAGGGGGTAAGGGAAGGGAGGGAAGGAGGGGTCGTGCGAGAGGGAGAGAAGGGACAGCGTAGAGTCGACAGGTTCGAGCAGGAGTAGTTGTTTCCGAGGACCGGGTCTGCTACGGCCTTGAGCTTGCCTGCTGCTATCAGCGGAATGGCCTGGATGGATGGAGGGGTGGGGGAGGGGTGTGCGAGAGGGACACCAGAGATAGCTTAGTGTTGACTACAGACTTGAGCTTGCCTGCTGCTATCAGCGGAATGGCCTGGATGGATGGAGGGGTGGGGGAGGGGTGTGCGAGAGGGACACCAGAGACAGCTTAGTGTTGACTACAGACTTGAGCTTGCCTGCTGCTATCAGCGGAATGGCCTGGATGGACGGGTGGGAGGGGAGGGGAGGGAGAGGGAGAGGGAGAAAAAGACAAACTTGAGCTAGTGTAGTTGTATCCGAGGGCCGGGTCTGCTGCGAATTTCAGCTTCCCTGCTGTGATCAGAGGAATGGCCTGGATAGACGGGTGGGAAGGGAGGGAAGGGGCGTGCAAGAGGTAGAGGTAGGTAAGGGAGGACTTTGGGTCACATGATGTTGCAGGAGTAATTTACAAGAAAGAAGAGACAAAAATCATCATACCATACCATACTGACAGTAATCATAAAGGAAAAAAAAAGGACAGAAAGAAAAAAAAGAAATAAGAAAAAAAGATCGAGAGACTCACCCAGCTGACGAGCGTCGTGATGACCCGCATGCTCGACTTGTTTTCTTCTTAAAGCCCAGCATATGGTAAAAAGGTGTGCAAGAGTAATAGTACCAACAATCGAGAGACTCACCCAGCTGACGAGCGTCGTGATGGCCCGCATACTCGACTTCTTGTTCTTCTTAAAGCCCAGCATCTCCATCTCCTTCTGCTGCTGCGTCTTCCCCCCCACGCCCGGTCTCAGCCACAGCAAAGCCGCCATGCTGCCTGCTATGCCCTTCTTTCTATTCTCAGATAAAATCGCCCGCTGCCCTGTAATCAGCTCCAAAAGAACCACGCCGAAACTATAAACATCACTTTTTGCCGACGCGATGTAGGTTTTTGAGTATTCCGGGTCGCAATACCCCGGGGTGCCCATGAGTCGGGTGTGGCTTACCCCCGCACCGCCCCCTCCTGGCCCTCCCAGATCAGCCGATTTCAGCAGCCCGAAATCCGCAATCTTCGCCTGGAGCTTATCTGTTAATAAGATATTATCCGATTTGATATCGCGGTGGATCACAGAATCGGCAGCGAAATCGTGCAGGTATCGCAGCCCCTCTGCGGCTCCTACAGCGATGCTCACTCTTTCATCAAACGTCAGAGGAGGTGGGAGGTCCAACGCACGCGCAGCAGCAGCAGAAGCGGCCTTGCTAGTCGAGGCAGATGACGGGTAGAGCTTGAAGAACGGCTTGCTGTCTTTGGCGTGGGCTTCGGAAGCGGGGTGGGAGGAGGCGAGGTGGGAGGCGCTGCGGTGGAGGCGAGAGGAGAGCATGCCGCTGTGCATGAACTCGTAGACGAGGATTCGCTCGTCACAGTCCGCCCAGAAGCCTATGAGTCGCACGAGATGCTGGTGGGCCATGCGACTCATGAATGACACCTGGGAGAGGGAACGGTGGCAAGTGGTTGCAAGGAGTGACAAGGAGTGACCAGGAGTGGCAAAGTAGCCTATGAGACACACAAGGTGCTGATGGGCCATGCGACTGACCTCAAGCTGACTCACCTCTTTCTCAAACTCCTCAAGCTGCTCGTCTGAAACCGTGTTCGCACGCTTCACAGCCCATACCTCCCTTCCTGTTCGCATCAGAGCAGCTTTTCTCAATACCTCACCTCACCCACACCTTATCCACAGACTCTCACCTCTTTCTCAAACTCCTCCAGCTGCTCGTCTGAAACCGTATTCGCGCGCTTCACCGCCCACACCTCCCCGTTAGCAGCATCCCCTCTATAGACACACCCGAACCCGCCCTCTCCAAGCTTTCTCCTCGGATCCCACGAGTCTGTAGCTGCTAAAATCTCTTCCAAAGGGATTTGCCGGGACAGCCCTGCACCCATCACACCTATACTTATCCCCATGCCCATCCCCATCCCCATGCCCATGCCCGATCCTGTTCCGAAGGGCCCGCCCATCCGTGCCCAAGGGTTGGCAGTGGGGGGAGCCAGGCCCGGGGTTGGGCAGGAGGTTCGGTCGGAGGCTCGGTCGGAGGCTCGGCCGGACAGCTTGCCGAAGCTGAAGCTGCTGCCGTCCGAACCTGTGGCGTCGCTTCGGCCGCTCTCATATATGGTGCTCCCGATCTGCCCGCCTATTTTCCCTTCCCGCTGGGCTGCTATAGCAGCAGCGGAGGGGGTGGTGGGAGTGCCGGGAAGATTCGATCGACCAGTGGGAGTTCCTGCCCCACTAGAACCAGCAGCAGTAGCAGCGGCGGCGGCTGCGGCGGCGGCAGCGGCAGCTGCGGCTTTGGAAACCCTAACGTTCACTGCTGCTGCTCTCCCTCCTCCTACACCTCCTCCTCCTACCACCCCTCCTCTTACCCCACTGCCCTCGCTCATCCAACCCAACTCCCTCTCCACCAATCGCTGCTGCACTTTCTCCCTAAAGTCCGGGAGCACGAGACGGAGGAGTTCAGAGCGGTGACACATGAGCAGATCGGATTCCTTAGACCTAGGGGCGCCCAACTCGTTAAGAAGCATGGTCACCGGCACTACAGAGGGGATACAGGCCAGTGGGAGGTCGTCAGGGTCGCTACAACCCACCCACTTGGTGTACCAAATCAGATCTGATATGCGATCTAATAAGATCTGTGAGCACAGGCGCTGGTTGGGGCGACTGCTGCCTTGAGCCATGGAAGAAGATGCCCCTGCATGGTGAGGGGAGTGAGTAGATGGGAGGGAAGGATGGCAGTAAGAAGGGTGAATAGATGGATGAGTAAAAAGGTCTATTTTTGAGGCGCCTCAACAAGCGTGAGCACAGGCGCTGGTTGGGGCGAGTGCTGCCTGAGTCATGGAAAAGGATGCCAACAAGGGTGAATAGTAGGATATGCAGGAGAGTAAAGGCACGAGTAACAGGATAGACCGACACAAAGAGCAGTGTTCTTAGAAGCGTGATTACCATGATTGAAAGTTCCGCGTGAGGTTGCTGCAGGTTTGCCAACAGTGCTGCCGCCGCTGCTGCTCTTCCTGCTCTCGTCATCCCTTGCCAAGGGCCCTCTAGGCGATCTCGGTGATACCTCCCTGCTACTCTCATCCCCCCCTTCATCCTTCCCACTACTGAACCCACCAGCAGCGGCACCAACAGGACTAGGAGCAGCGGCAGCAGCAGCAGCAGTAGCAGCTGCTGCTGACTTGAACAGATTCCGTAGCTCCCCCATCCCATCGTCCCACACAATCACCTCTTTCAACGCGCCCCCTTTGTTACTGTCACACTCAGCACTCAGCCTAGCCCAGTCATTTTGAGGACACACCAGCAGAGGCACCTCCCTCCCCCCACCACCTCCCCCCGCACCAGATACAGCCTCCCCCAGCCCATCCCTACACGCAGATACACCCTCCCCAGCTGCCCCCGCAGCTTCTCCGCCCACCTTCCTCTGAACGCCTCCCAACTCCTGGCTATCCCTCAGAACCGTGAGATCCTCCTCTCCTGCCCCCTCTGCTGCTGCGCGAACGGCCTTCCCCAGGAGGGAAAGGCGGGCGAGGGAGCGAGCGTGGGTGATCCCAAGACCGTACAGGGAACCTTTACACGCTGAGAAGATTTCCTCTATCTCGTTTGAGATCTCTGTGAGGAGAGATAAGGCGGCTTGCTGCTGGAGTTGTAGCAGCTGCTGCACCTGTTGCTGCCGTTTCCCTGCTATGTGCTGCTGCTGCTCCTGCTGCTCCTGCTGCTGTTTGTCTGCTGTTTCCGCTGCACCTACTGCTGACTCTGCTGCTGCATCTGTCTCTGGTTGCGCTGCTGCCTGTGTCTGCGGCTCTTCTTCCTTCGCCTCTGGAAATACGGTCAACAGCTGTTGCGTCTCCTGCTTCACCCGCAGAGCAAACAGGCGCACCAGCAGCAGCGGGCAGCGGCGGGCGTCGCCCTGAAAGAGGGGAGCAGGGCGGAACAAGGAGGAAGGGGGGGGGGGGGGTGACGGAAAGGGGGATGCGATGAGGATCCTGGGAGTGCAATGGGAGTGATGCAATGAGCAAACAGGCGGACTAGCAGCAGAGGGCAGCGGCGGGCGTCGCCCTGAGAGAGAGGAGCGGAGCAAGGGGAGGGTGCAGAGGAGAGAGAGGGGGGCAGGGGAAAGAAGGGGAACAGGGGGAATCGTTCTGAGACGCTTTAGAGTGCTGCACCCGCAGGGCAAAGAGGCGGTCTAGCAGCAGCAGGGAATGAAAGGGTGGCGCGGGCAGGGGCAGGAGAGGCGAACCGGGAGGGGAGGGGAGAGGGGGGAAGAAAAGGTGGGATGCGTTGTGAGAGAAACATTTGAAAGACCTCACCATCTGTTGGAGCTTCCAACGCATTTTCCAGCACCGCAGCAACGCACTCCTTCTCACCTCATCTGAGCCGTTCATCGTCATTTCTTACCTCATCTGAGCCGTTCATCCTGTCCCGGGCCATGCCTGCCAGCTCATCCGCCATCTGCTGCAGCTCCTTCACCTCGCTGCCACGTGGCAGCGCGCCAGTGGTCAGCGGCGCCAGCAGCAGCGTGTCATACGCAGCCATGGCGTCTTGTACGGCGAAAAAGAGGTCGTTCCACTCCAACGCCAATGAGGGGCACGCTGTGAGGTCGAAGCACGATGAGCCTGAGAGGACAGGGGGGCGGGGAGGGGAGGAGATGGAGCAGCGGCAGCGTGTCATACGCAGCCATGGCGTCCTGTAGGGCGAAGAAGAGGTCATTCCACTCCAGCGCCAGTGAGGGGCATGCTGTGAGGTCGAAGCACGATGAGACTGAGGTAAACGATGGCGGAAGCAGGAGGCAGGTCAACACGAGGGAGGCCAACGCAGGGTTGGAGGGAGGTCAACGCAGGGGATTGGTGGAGGGTGGTCAACGCAGAGGGGAGGTGGCACCTACCAGGCAGGAAAGGCGCATCAGTCATAGACAGCTGCTCCGACCAATCCCGGCCCGGACTGCTCGTCGTAGACCCTCCCTCTCCTCCTCCGCCTCCCCCTCTCGCTCCCCCTCCCCTTCCACTGGGGACGGAAGCAGAAGCGGGCAGATGGGGCGTGATAGGCCCTGAGCCACCGGCTCTAGCCAGGGTAGGGGCTGTGGCGTCTGTAGAACCGTCAGGGACGGAAGAGGAGTGCGAGAGGGAGAGGTTCGAACGCAAGTCCGCGGATCGACGGCGGACGTGCGTGCGAGGAGGGGTGTCCGCAATCCCTCCTGCTGCACCTGCTGTTGCAACTCCTCCTGCTGCTGCTGCTGCTCCTGCTGCTGGAGCAGGGGAGGCTACCTGGGGGGAATGGAACCGTTGCAGGTATGCAGCGGCGCCTGCTCTACTGAAAGGCTCCGTCCTCATAACGGGACCGTCTGCACCGTGTATGGGGGACGTGCCCTTGCTCCCACCAGGGGTTGTCCCGCCAGACTTATGCTGAAACTGCTGTTTGCCAATAACGGGGACAGCCACTGTCCCCATATCATTCCCTAGACTAACCGCCCTCGCAATGCCGCTAATCCTTCCCCCTCCTCCGCCGCCCGCGGCTCCGCCTCCTCCACTGCCTGTTCCCGTGGACGGGCGGTATGGGCGGGTGGCGCTGCGGCTGAGGACGCCCCTGCTTCCGCCGCACATACTGCTGCCCCGCGCGCTGCTGCTGGCGATAGAACTGGATGTGAATATAGAGGATGACATGTGGCTCTGACCAATGGCGCTGCGATTATAGTCGTCTGCGAGAAATAACGGAAAGGACAACGGAATGGACGGTGGAGATTAAAGAACGAAAATTGACGCAGTCGGTGGCAACTGTGCGTTTGTCTGACGTGCACATCCCATAATTTTTGCAATATCGTGTGATAAGACGTCGCAAATCTGCTCTGCCTTTCAGTAAACAGTATAATTTTCCACAATAGCCTCTGCTCGTGACGGAGCTGGCATCGCGCCAAAGGAACAGACACGCAAAAAAAAAAAAAAAAAAAGACACGAACACGAGGAAAAAAAAACGGCTTACGAGAAAAACCAATGGTTTGTGCACCGTGGTCCGACTACTGTGACATTACCTGTGTCCCCATAAGCGTTGTTGTAGGGGTCGAGCTCGAGGACTCTATTATTGAGGTTCCTAAGAAAAAAAAAAATGGCGTGTATACCACGTCCCGTTACGTTACCTGTGTCTCCTTCGGCATCGTTCCAGGGGTCAAGCTCCGAGAGGCACGCGTTCAAGACTTGAAGCAGTCGCTCGCACTTCCACGCCACACGCGCACTGTGTCTCTCCGCATCCTTCTCCGCTTTCTCCGCCTCCTTCCCCGCATCGGGGACGGACAGTTCCGCGGTTTGCGCGACTCCTGCGTCATTGCTCTGCGACGTCTCAGAAGAAACGGCCGACGGTTCTGCAGATTGCGATACTCTAGCGGCTTCTCGCGAGTGATAAGCGCTTACAGCGGGGATAAGCGCGCCGAACGCGAGTTCGACCAACGATGCGGGACACGAGACATCGTTAGGGCCGGGAGACCCGACTCGACCGAGCAGCCATGTGCGCTTTTGCGAGGAACCAGTATGGATTCCACTCGCACTCGACATTGCATTACTATGTCAGAATATTAGAATATTATTACTAAGTAAGCGGCGTAGTCAAGGTTAGATTCAAGAGGCGTGGCTTTGGAACGAAAAGTGGAAACCTTCACAGCGGATGTGTGTCTTAGCGCTTTGAGAGTAGCCTATGTCTGGGCAACGGTGAACATAAATTAGTGCATATATTTCTTAGGCTAGCTCAAGTTAGGAAAGTCAATTGCGTCAAATAGTTATCGCAAGAAGCAATGCCGTGCCGAGCTGGTGTCTAACTGCTTGGAAGCCTAACTTGCAAGCCTGCCCTGCTGAGTCAACTCTCCGTTCTGAGCTGGTTTCCTGCTGCTTGGCTCGCTGTCAGGAACAGCCAATGCTAGCAGAACAAGCGACTTCCGTTCCGTTCTGTTCTGTGTCTTGCTTGAATCGTCGAGCAAAGCGCCAACGCTGGTGGAGTCTGCGCTACTGTTCCCACCTTCGTCAAGCCTTCGGTGTTGTCGGCAATTTGCGAGACTTTTCGTCTGAAGTGTAGCTATTCGTCAATACGACTCGTGCCCAATTAAATGTCGTCGTTGTGCAGCGAACATCCTCGACTAATTAATTCTGCTTTCCATCTCACTCGTAACCAACTAACCTCTCAACTGTACTCCGAGCACGTAGAGCGGACAATATTTCTTCATCGTACGGCAGCCAGGACCTGGAGGTTGCGCCCACTACCCACTGCACCCCGAGAACGGCCGGGTGGGGCTGGAATACTGTACCAAATTTCACATGCGGCACGACGCTGATTGATGGGGCAGTTTTTCAGGGTTATCCGATAAGCTCTAGAAGACGTGCATGAAATCGAGGTGATCCAGCCGTCCGTTTACTTGGATGGTGTCATCGTTACATGAGCCACAATGCGCCAATGTTGGTTTCCGCCAAGCTGTAGTACAAATGTTCTCGTTTATAGTCCGACGGATCCACAACGCCGCGCGGGGACGATGTGCAAAACCCTTCAAACCCCAGGCAAAACGCGACACTTATAGTCCAGTTCAAGATAATTGCATGAAGAGTGGTTGTTTCGCTACTAGTTTCTGGATTTTGGCATTTACGTAGATTTGGACCGCGCTTGCTTCAACTTCCAGTCGCACGGTTTTCCACGCTGATCAATGTCGCATGACTAAAGGTAAAAAAAAGCAAAATCAACTATAGTTTGGGGGTCGAATAGTGACCCAAAAACTTCTTTTTTACCCTGTAAGCGAGATAAATGAGATGTCATCGTCGATCGCGCTGGAGACAGCGCGACAGGATTGAGAAGTAGTCACGGTCAAGAGAAACAATTACTCACAATTTATAAGTTAAAATATCGAACCGATGATCCCTTCTTCATCGTTCTCCTTGAATGTTGGGCTGGTTTGATCTGGAGCCTCTGATTGGCTGCGGAGCTGATTCGTACAATGATTCGGTCAAGCTGCAAAATTTTCCGCCAAAAAAGGGACTATAGGGGTCGGGCCAACCCTAGGCGATATCGGAAAATTCTACTCAGGGGGGAAAAGTGACTCTCTCAGCGAAGGCCTCTAACCCGGAACATTTGTACAAACGGCCAGCTGGTTGGTCCCCTAAAGAAGTCTGGGCAGGGCACAGCTGACAAGGAAATTGCTGCCCGTCCGTCAAAAGCCACGAACGTTGCGTTGTACGAAGGGTCCTGCGTGCTGCTGAATCTAGTCTTTCGCCGGCGAGTAACCAGCTGGCGATCGCAAGGATTTTCGTCAACGTCTGGAACCTACGTTTAGCTTGGGCTGGCGGGAAACGAGGAGGAATTCTTGGGATTTACGAAGATCTGTCCGGAAAAAGCAGCAAAAACACACAACACCAACACACACCCAGCACATCACGAGTTCCCAGCATTAGATGGCGTCAGCTTGAAGCAGTTTCGTCCTTGATTCAAGCGTAGTCAGAGCTGCGCAGTAATATTGTTAGTGCATTGGGCCAGTATTAGTTTCTATTAGATTCTCCTAGCTCCGTTGGGCCACCTATGCGTTCGTCTGGTCCCATAGTCGCACTGATAGCGAGATTCCGCTTCTTTTTTTGATGTGTTCATTACTAATTCCCAGAAAGCCACGCCCAGAATTGTAGGCTATATGAATTTATGGATGTCGAGTATGTAATCGTTTTCGAGATTACGACACAGCTAGCAAAAAACGGAGCGTCGGGACTGTTGAGCTACGAAGTGTGGAATTTTCATATATATTAGTCCCTGCATGTAAATGTGGTTGTGCGTGAAGTTATGGCACCAATAGCGGGAAATGGAGCGTCGGGATCAGCGAGTCTTTACAAGGTGTTGGAGATCAGAGCGCTGAAGCGGCAGAAGCGGAGCGACGAGGCGAGAAGCCTGCTGGAGCGAGTGGCGAAGCAGGTTGAGCCGATTATGATCCGGCGCCGATGGAAGGTGCCGCTGCTGTCTGAATTCAGGTTCGAGCCTCAGTAGACGCGCTAAAAACAGGTTGGTTATTTACTCGTCTCAACAAGAGAAGCCTGTTGTAGCGAGTCGCTACGCAGGTGGAGCCGATTATGGTCCTCGTTCACACTCGCACCATGATTAGCTTTTGACTGTTCCCCATCCCACAGTCCCAGCAATGCTCGGCTCCTGGGTCTCAACATCAACCGAGGCCGGGAGATTCGAATACGACTCAGACCCGCAGGCAAGCGTTGGGAACTATCGGGAGTTGTACCTGACATTTGTTCATGCTTATTGTCAACCTGCTAGTGATTCGACTCAGACGGTCAGGATAGCTAGATTCGCCCTTCCCTTACAAGCGTGAGCTGCGAACCACCGCGGACGAGCTCATTGCAAGTAGGGGTTGACCTTGACCGGCAGGCAATCAAACTATCCCATTCCTTGGAAGAAAGCATCGAGCACCTCCCTTCATAACTGCTGATTAGTTAGATCGTGTCAATTCACACACAATCTGCAAGCTCTCGTATGAGCTGACCAGCTGCAACTTTTGAGTTGCCCTTCCTTTTCTTTCTTTCTTTCTTTCATTCTTTTCCTGCAATCTTGATTCACTGAATAGGCAAGCCGGACTCATTCTTCCCATACGAGCATGTGTTGGGCACCATGCTTCACGAGCTCACTCACATCGAACGAGGCCCCCACGATGCCAAGTTCTACAAGCTACTAGACGAACTCAATGAGGTAAGTGCAGTAACGCGCTCGTCCTCTCCGTCTTCCACTTCAGTGTGGCAATGCCCCCTCGTCCCATCCACGCATGTGCTGCTTTGACCAAGTGACTTTTGAGTCTACTCAAAAGTCACTCCGTCTTCCACTTCAGTGTAGCAATGCCCCCTCGTCCCATCCAAGCATGTGCTATTTGGAGTTCCCACAAGCATAGGCTGGAGGCTGGACAAACCTTTTTCGTGCGTGTGTCTCTCATTGCCCAAACCCATATGAGCAGGAGTGTGATGATCTCATAGCACGAGGCATAACAGGAACGCCCTTTGGGGGATCTGGTCACCGCCTCGGCTCCTCTGCTTATCCCTCCATTCGCCCAGTCCGCTTAGGCACTGCTGCTGCTGCTGCTGCTGCTGCTGCTGCTGCTGCTGCTGCCAGCGCTGCTGCTTCTTCCTCTTTCAGGGTTGTTACCCCTGCTGGCCCTTCTTCTGCCCCGTCTGCTGCTGACGGGGCAAGCAGAAAAGCAGCGGCAGCAGCGGCGGAGCGGAGGCGGCAGCAGCAGCGGATCATGATGCCTGTGGGCGGGCGGCGATTGGGCGGCGACAGTGAGATTATGAAGGTGTTGAGTCCGGTGCAGGCAGCTGCTATGGCAGCAGAGAGAAGGATGAGGGACGATGTGTGGTGTGGTGGGCATGGGAGCGAGGGAGGGGAGGGAGGAGAGGGAGGGGATAGGGGTCAAGGCGGGGCGAGGGAAAAGGAAGAGGAGGAGTGGGAGAGTGCAAGGGAAGTGAGAGAGGGTAATGCGTCACAGCAGCGTGCAAACGATGTTAGACACGATGATAGAGTTGATGGTAGAGATGATGGTAGAGGAGGAATGGCAATGGGTGAAGGTCATGGTGGTGCTGTTGGTTCTGGGTTGGAGGGGGATGAAATAGGGGCAGGCAGAGGGAGGGTGAGGAGTGGAAGTGCGCAGAGTGACGCGTCCAGGCATCAGGACTGTGACTGTAACGGTGGTTGTGATTGTGTACAAGGTGCAAATGGCTTCAGAACGGGGGAGGCGAGCCAGGCTGGTGGGGCAAGGAAGCGGCCAAGTGTGACTGAGGAGCAGAGCAGTAGGAGCAGAAAGATGCCTGCAAGCAGTGCTGTAGCAAGTAAGAGAGCTGATGCGGCCAGAGAAAGATTCACAGATGGGTCTAGAGGGGGCGATGTGTCAGGAGGAGAGCAGCAGGCAGCGGGAGCAGGCAGGGCAGAGGGAGCAGAGGGTGTGGGGAGAGAAGACAACTGGACGTGCCGTGTTTGCACACTGATTAACCGGGTGAGTTAGGAGCTTTTAACATGTGTGTGTGGGGGGGAAAAGAGTGGGGGGAGAGGGGAGTGTGTGCGTGTGTGCATGTGCATGCGGGCATGCAGTTGAATCCATTCAGGCAGTCAATGACCATCACACACACAGTATGGTACCTGCCCTGTCGGTTCCAATATGAGGAAGCACTTGGTACAGTGCGCCTCAGCGTGAATCATGCCTTATGATTTTTCTTTTATTTATTTATTTCTTTATTTCTTTTCTTTTTTTCCTGTAGGGCATTGTGCTACAGTGCGAGGCGTGCCTTGCAGTGCGACCGCATTCAGGCCCGGCCAGTTCTCGCGCAGCAGTGACCGCTGCTTCCACGCCCCCCACCACCGCTGCTGGTGCTGCTGCTGCTGGTACCAGTGCCGATGCAGCCATTGTAATCGAGGATTACCCTGCTGCTGCAATCACTGGCTGTGGCAGTGCTGCAGTCATTGCTGACAGTGCTGCAGTCATTGCTGACAGTGCTGCAGTCATTGCTGACAGTGCTGCAGTCATTGCTGACAGTGCTGCTGCCCCGGGGGCCATGTGGACTTGTACGCTGTGCACGCTAGAGAATGCTGCTGCTGCAGATCGATGCCTGGCCTGTGACTCACTGAAAGTCGCTCAGACATGATGCCATATCAACTCATTGATGCCTCTCACGCATAATAATCTCAACACAAGTGCGGTAAACTCAACACATGTAATCTCAATGCATGTGCTTCTGTAGCTGTTGGTGGTAGTGCTGTGCTGCCATGAGGATGAGGTCCATATGGACGTGTGGACAGTGCACGCTAGGGAATGGTGGTGGTGGTGGTGGTGCTGCTGCTGCTGCTGCTGCTGCTGCTGCTGCTGCTGTGGACCACGCTGCCAGGTGACTTTTGAGTCGACTCAAAAGTCACCTCATGTAATCTCAACGCATGTGCTTCTGTTGCTGTTGGTGGTAGTGCTGTGCTGCCATGAGGATGAGGTCCATGAAGACGTGTGGGCAGTGCGCGCTAGAGAATGGTGCTGCTGCTGCTGCTGCTGCTGCTGCTGTGGACCACACTGCCAGCCAGGCCAGTCACTCATGGAGATGCACGTGGTTCCGTGATACATACCGTACAACTGCACCATAGTCAGTTCCGGTCACCCATTGAATTGACAGCATTCAATAGCCATGCCAGTGGTGAAGCCACACACATACGGTATGTTCGCAGATACCGTATGTTAGCAGTGCAGTGGACCACGTCGCGCTCCCTGGTCTGTGACTCGCAGGATTTCTTTCATTTTTTTTCATCAAGCAATGTGGCTTCACTGTGCCCGCTCAATTCACTCTTAGACACATGCACTTGCGCGACTGAGCATGGTTATTAGGAGTCCATACATACGGTACTGTACTGCAGAGCACAGCAACTGGTCTTAGACTATAGCTGCAATCATTGCAAGAGCAATGAAGCAAGTGAATCTGCTGCAACAGCAGAAACCATGCACAAGCCTTTCAGGTGCACTCTCCTATCTGAAAGCCACGTGATGACCCTCAGTTTGTCTCACCGCCTCTTGTACCTGCCAGGAGGAGAACAGAGCGCAAGGGAAAGACGAAAATGCATGCATGTCAAGTCAGAATGCTAAGGGAGGGCCAAACAATATGGGGTTAAAAGGACTAAACCCTAAACCCTGGAAAGTGGGGACCAAAGGGGCCCGCCACCGTCCTCTTGGAGACTTCTCAAACAGTCATGAGGTAACAGTCAAGAGGTAACAGCCAAGAGGATGACAGACAGACTCACCGCTTCTTGCTCTTGAAAGTCCCCCCAGCCTTCCCCCTCCCCTTCACTTCCCCCCCAGCCCCTCCCCCTCCTTTCCCCTTGGCCATATCCGTCTGAAACAGATCCTTCATCTCTCGGGACCGGGACGGCGTTTTCTGCTTCGGTTTCTTCCCAGCTGCCCGGCCGCCCGCCTTGGGCAGGCTGACAATCTTCCCAGCTGCCCGGAGCCGCTCTGCGGATTTGATTGCCTTGGCCTTGCGGTAAGCCAGATCGGCTCTTGTCTTTCCTCCAGCCTTGGGTTTCCCATCAGATGCTTCATCCAACCCGAACTCCTGTGCTTCTGCCTCCTCCTCTTGCGCCTGCCTCTCTGCCTCTAGCTTTCTGCGTTTCTTTCTTGGGAGGGATTTCTGGATGGGGGGAAAGAAAGAGAAAGGGTGAGGGAGGGGGAGGAGGGAGGGGGGCGGCCAAAGGTGAAAAGATCCGAAAAATTTTCAGCTTCATCCAGCCCGAAGGCTTTTGTGCCTTGGCTCTTGTCTTTCCTCCAGCCTTGGGTTTGCCATCAGATGCATCATCCAACCCAAACTCCTGTGCCTCTGCCTCCTCCTCTTGAGCCTGCCTCTCTGCCTCTAGCTTTCTGCGCTTCTTCCTAAGGAGCAATTTCTCGAAGGGGAGAAGAAATGATAAGTTAGAGGGAGGGGGAGGGGGAAGGGCGAGGGACGATGTGAGCAAGAGCAGGCAATTTCAATTCATCCAGCCCAAAGGCCTGGTGACTTTTGAGTCATCCAGGCCTGTGCATCCAGGCCTGTGCATCCAGGCCTGTGCATCCAGGCCTGTGCATCCAGCAACAGTCGACTCAAAAGTCATCCAGCCCAAAGGCCTGTGCTAAGGCCCCCTCCTCCTCTTGTTGTGCCTGCCTCTCTGCCTCTAGCTTTCTGCAGGGATTTCTGGAACAGGAAAGAGAAAGGGAGAGGAAAAGGGCAAGGACAACGGAGAGGGAAGAGGGGATGGGAGGCAAGGGGGGGCGGAGAGTGAGACGAGAGGAGGAGGGTACAGGTTAGTTGGGAGTGCAGGTGCATCATCCGGCCCCAAGGCTTGCGCTGCTTCCTCCCCTTGTGCCTGCCTCTTTGCCGCCAGCTTCCGCCTCCCACCCCTAGTGTTTGTTTCACCTCCCACATCTCAGCAACACATTGCTCACCTCTCGCTGCTTCTTCAGCTTCTCCTTCCTCCTCTTCTCCTGCAGCTCCTCCAGTGAAAGCACCTTCCCTCCTCCCTTCCCTCCCCCTTTCCCACTGCCGCCCTCCCCGCCCTCTGCCTCAGCGTCAGCCACAGCCTTAGCCGCCTCTGCCACTGCCTCCTTCTCCCTCTTGCTCTGGAACCACGTGCGCTTGGGCTTGGCGAATATCTCATCGCGATGAGTCAGCATGTTCTCAGCCTGACGTGGCAGCAGGGAGGGGTTGAGCGGAAAGGGAGATGAGAAGCAAGGATAGCAGCTGGAGTCATGTCCTCAAAATTCTGAAAGAAAAAAAGTCACTTCAAAGTTAAAACTAGCAAGAAGAACAGTGTGTGTCAAACCCTTCGGTTTGAGAAGTCGCAAAACTAGACACAGCAGCTTCAACTCCCCGGGTCAACCCACCTACCCCGGCCGACCCGCCAGCCTGCCCACCCACCCACCTGCCCGCCCGCCCACCCACCCACCTTGACTGCTTCCATCTCTGCCTTTCGCAGCACCCGTTCCTCCCTCTCCTGCTTCATAACAGCCGCTACATCCCTCTCCATGCCCTCCACTCGCTGCCTCCACCGCTCCACAGCCGCTTGGGCTATCTGCCGCTGCTTCAGCTTCCTGCCTGCTCGCTTTGTCTGCAGGGAGAGAGAGTGGGAGGGAGAGGAAGGGAGGGAGAGGCAGGAAGAGAAAGTGGGACTGCGGGCTGAGATGGGGAACATCACAGAATGCCATCCCACGTCCCTCTCCATGCCCTCCACTCGCTGCCTCCATCGCTCCACAGCCGCTTGCGCTATCTGCCGCTGCTTCAGCTTCCTGCCTGCCCGCCTCGTCTGCAGGGAGAGAGAGTGGGAGGGAGAGGAAGGGAGGGAGAGGCAGGAAGAGAAAGTGGGACTGCGGGCTGAGATGGGGAACATCACAGAATGCCATCCCACGTCCCTCTCCATGCCCTCCACTCGCTGCCTCCACCGCTCCACCGCCGCTTGCGCTATCTGCCGCTGCCTCAGCTTCCTTCCTGCCCGCCTCGTCCGGTGTGACGTGCAGGGGGGAAAACGGTGCAGGGTGTGGAAGAAGGATAGATGGGATGGGACACCACATCAGTCAATGCCATCCCACATCCCTCTCCATGCCCTCCACTCGCTGCCTCCACCGCTCCACAGCCACTTGCGCTATCTGTCGCTGCTTCAGCTTCCTGCCTGCTCGCCTCGTCTGTGGTAAGAGAGAGTGGAACGGGGGTGCAGAGAGAACGAGGCGTACCAGGTGTTAGGACATAAGGCTCTCACTTAGTGACTTTTGAGTCGACTCAAAAGTCACGAGGCGCACCAGGCGTTAGGACATAAGGCTCTCACTTCACATCACCTCACATCACATCACATCACATCATGCTGACATATCTTGTACAAACACTCTTCTCCCTTCCACCTCGCCTCCTCATCTCATCCCTTCTTCCCCGCCATTTCCTTGCTCTCACCATCGCTTTCAGCAGCCTTCGGTCCTTCTCCCCCACGAAGGTCACTGACGATCCGCCCTTCCCTGCCCGTGCTGCCCTCCCTTTCCCTCCTTCACCTTCTCTTCCAGCCTTGCACAATGCACTCTCCTTCCCCTCCCCCACTACTCACCATCGCTTTCAGCAGCCTTCGGTCCTTCTCCCCCACGAAGGTCACTGACGATCCCAGCTTGCCTGCCCGTGCTGTCCGCCCCACTCGGTGCACGTAGCTGGGGAGCACAGGGGAGGAGAGGGGAAGGCAGGGGAGGAGGGGTTGGAGAAGGCAGGAGGGGATGAGTATGTTAGGGGAAGGGTGTGTAAGCCCTAGCTTCCCTGCCCTGCCCATGCTGTCCTCCCCACTCGGTGCACGTAGCCGGGGAAAGGGGAGATGGGTGGGGGCGTTTGGAGGAAAATAGAGAAAGGATGGGGATGATATGGGATGGGAGGGAGAAGACACGAGGAATGAAAAACGACAGGGGAATGCATATAAGTAACAGAGATGAAGGTATAGTGTGCGATCTGCTGACCACTGCAATTTTGAAACCACTCACTTGGTGATTTCACGGGGTGTGTGGTAGTTGATGACTGTTTGCACTCCAGCAATGTCCAAACCCTGAATGGAGTCCGGGGGAGGAGAGGTTGGGAAATGCGGGGAATGAAAAGGACAATGGAAAAGATGGGATTATTAATGAGATGTCTCAAAACGAATACTTAAGGACACTTAATCGGTCACAAAAACGACTAGCAAAAGACAAAGAAGTAGCAAAAACGAGAGAAAAAAAAGGCCTTATAAAACGCAATCGTTGCACACGCACCCTGGCAGCGACATCAGTGGCAATAAGGAAGTCCACATCGTGCGTCCGAAATCGTTCCAAGGCCTGGACGCAAGGGGGTGCAGCAAAGCAAGGACAGCAGGGAAACAAGGAAACGTGCACACAGAAACGTGCGGTGAGATTCTAATGGGTAGTGGCGTGTGCAGGCTGGCAGCGACATCAGTGGCAATAAGGAAGTCCACATCGTGCGTCCGAAATCGTTCCAACGCCTGAGTGGAGAAAGGAGGCAAAGAGGCACGAGCGGGGAAAGGAGGCAGGAACGATTTTTTAGGCGCCTCAAAAGCGGCAACATCAGTGGCGAGGCGATGAGAAAGTCCACATCGTGCACAGTGGACTAGATGCACTTCTGTGCACATCGTGCACAGTGGACTAGATGCACTTCTGTGCACATCGTGCACAGTGGACTAGATGCACTTCTGTGCACATCGTGCACAGTGGACTAGATGCACTTCTGTGCACATCGTGCACAGTGGACTAGATGCACTTCTGTGCACATCGTGCACAGTGGACTAGATGCACTTCTGTGCACATCGTGCACAGTGGACTAGATGCACTTCTGTGCACATCGTGCATGCAGAACCGCTTCAAGAATGAAGCAAGCACGCGTGCATGCCCAATCCTTAAGGTGCATGTCCACATCGTGCATGCAGAACCGCATGCAAGGCCTGAGTGGGGGGAAGCAAGTAGGCAGGAAATGCGCACACAGATAAACGTGAGATTCGGTTCTGATTGCTAGCAGCGTGTGTAGGCTGGCAGCAACATCAGTGGCGATGGGAAAGTCCACATCGTGCATGCAGAACCGCATGCAAGGATTGGGCATGCACACGGGGCAAGCAAGCAGGAAACGCGCAGACAGACGTGTGAGGTGAGGTTCTCATGGGTAGTGGCTTGCAGGCTGGCTGCAACGTCAAAAGAAACCACGTCAGCAGTAGTGAGGTCACATCCAGGCCATGCGACGTGTGATTAGTAACCTCACTCACATCCAGTCTCATGGCTTGAGTGAGGTTCCCGTGTAGTTCCGCTACCCGCCATCCCAGCACTAGCACCACATGCAGTCACATCCCCCTTGCTCACTCACATCCCCCTTGCTCACTCACATCCCCCTTGCTCACTCACATCCCCCTTGCTCACTCACATCCAGTCGCATGGCCTGGGTAAGGTTCCCGTGTAGTTCCGCCGCCCGCCATCCGAGCAGACCAAATATAATCTTCAGCCGATGCGCCTCTACCTTGCGGCCGCTGCAAACAAACAAAAACGGCCACAGGAGGGAGAAACGGGTGCCACGTCAGCATATGATAGGGGTGTGCTCAGCCACCAATGAACAGCGTGCAGCAGAACATGCTGAGCCACAGGAACCACGTCAGCACCAGCACATGACACGTCAGAACCATTTCACGTGTCAGCACACCAGCTGCACAAACGAATCTGAAGATGATCATTTCTCCTCCCTCTTGCAATTTACTCCTCTTCTCCCCTACCCCTAAATCCGAGGTGCCATTTCAGTCAACAGAAGGCTCACCTGAAGACGATCACTCCACCACTCCCCTGTGCTTTACTCCGCTTCTCTCCCTTCCCCCCACCTCACCATCCTGAAACCAAGGTGTCTGTTGAAATGATTTCAAAGCTCACCTGAAGACGATCACTCCACCACCTGTGCTTTACTCCGCTTCTCTCCCTTCCCCCCACCTCACCATCCTGAAACCAAGGTGTCTGTTGAAATAATTTCAAAGCTCACCTGAAAACGATCACTCCACCACCCCCCTGTGCTTTACTCCGCTTCTCCCCTCTTCCTGAATCTCCTGCCTGTCCTCCTTCCGAACCACCATCCGTCCCTCCTTCCGAGCCTGCGCCAGCGGTTTTGGCGAGCCTGGAGCACACAGCGAGCAGCATGGCCTCTCGGTCTGCTTCCTGAGACGATCGCACTCGAACCACCCTGGAGAAGAAAAGGAGGGAGAGGGGGAGGATGACGGGATGCCAATGGGAGGAGTGAGTAAGAGGCATAAGTTTTGGAGCGGAGAGAGCAGAAAAAGCACACTGCGCAGCAGCATGGCCTCTCGGTCTGCTTCCTGAGACGATCGCACTCGAACCACCCTGGAGAAGGGGGGTGGGGGAGGGGGGCGTGGGGGAGGAGGGAGTGGGGGAGAATGAGGGGATGGCAATTGGAGAGGGAAGAAAGAGCAAGCAGTATGGCCTCCTCCTGTCCAGTGTACAAGGTTGCAGCATGGAAGCAGCAGCAGCAGCCGCACTGGCAGGTAAGGCCCCCAACGCACTCCAGTGTACAAGGTCGCACTGGCAGGTAAGGCCCCCAACGCACTCCAGTGTACAAGGTCGCACTGGCAGGTAAGGCCCCCAACGCACTCCAGTGTACAAGGTCGCACTGGCAGGTAAGGCACCCAACGCACTCCAGTGTACAAGGTCGCACTGGCAGGTAAGGCCCCCAACGAACTCCAGTGTACAAGGTCGCACTGGCAGGTAAGGCACCCAACGCACTCCAGTGTACAAGGTCGCACTGGCAGGTAAGGCCCCCAACGCACTCCAGTGTACAAGGTCGCACTGGCAGGTAAGGCCCCCAACGCACTCCAGTGTACAAGGTCGCACTGGCAGGTAAGGCACCCAACGCACTCCAGTGTACAAGGTCGCACTGGCAGGTAAGGCCCCCAACGCACTCCAGTGTACAAGGTCGCACTGGCAGGTAAGGCCCCCAACGCACTCCAGTGTACAAGGTCGCACTGGCAGGTAAGGCCCCCAACGCACTCCAATGTACAAGGTCGCACTGGCAGGTAAGGCCCCCAACGCACTCCAGTGTACAAGGTCGCACTGGCAGGTAAGGCCCCCAACGCACAGCTTCTCACTCTCCCCAATCAGTCACTCACAGTGCCATGTCAACCCCTCACTCACTCTGTACCCTGCACACAGTTCACTCCCCCTCTCTCACTCACTCCTCTTCCAGTATGCGAGGTCCCTGCATGGAAGCATCAGCAGACAGCCGCACCGGCAGGTTGAGAGACAGGCTTGCTAGCTGCTGCACCCACCCAATTCTCCTCCGCCTTTCCTCACCCTCTCACCCCTTCCCTGCACCCACTCCTTCTCCCGCCTTCCCCCGCGATCACTCACTCTTCTTCCAGTGTGCGGGGTCGCTGCATGGAAGCATCAGCAGACAGCCGCACCGGCAGGTTGAGGGACAGGCTGGCCAGCTGCTGCACCTCCCCACTCATGGTGGCCGAGAAGAGGAGAGTTTGGCGGCGCTTTGGGCAGACTCTCACCTGCGAGGGGGGAGGAGGAGAGGGAAGGCAAGGGGGTGTGGGTGGGGGAGGGAGGCTAGTGTGAATGGCAGGTTGAGAGACAGGCTCGCCAGCTGCTGCACCTCCCCACTCATGGTGGCCGAGAAAAGGAGAGTCTGGCGGCGCTCGGGACACACTCGCACCTGCGTGAGAGAGGCAAAGAGCACCGAGGGGAAGAGGAGAGGGAGAGGGGGAAAGGGGGGAGGGGATTTTCGAATGACAGGTTTAGGGACAGGCTTGCCAGCTGCTGCACCTCCCCACTCATGGTGGCCGAGAAGAGCAGCGTCTGACGGCGCTTGTGCACTGACAATGGCCGAAGATAGGCCAAGCCTGGTGCACCAACCATCTATTTCTGGCAGCACTTACTATTTTCGGCAGCACTGACTCTTTCCATCACCTTCGCCTGAAGCCCCAGCTGCAGCAGCTGTCCGCCTCATCCAGCACTGGAATGGCATCAAAACAGCACCACTCACTATTTTTGGCAACGATTGCCATTTTGGGCAGAACTTGCTATTCCCATCACCTCCTCCTGGAACCCCAGCTGCAGCAGCCTGTCCGCCTCGTCCAGCACCAAATAGGCACCAAAACAACCCCAATTACTATTTCCGGCAACACTGCCGTTTCCAGCAGCACTTACCACTTTTGGCAGCACTTACTATTTCCATCACCTCCTCCTGGAACCCCAGCTGCAGCAGCCTGTCCGCCTCGTCCAGCACCAGAATGGCCAGGTCGTTCAAGTCAACGCTCTGGCTGTTCTGCAGATGATCAACAAGTCTGGAGGGGGGAAGAGGAAGAGATTGGTGGGAAATTGAGGGTACAAAAGCAAGGCAAGGTTGGTCAGGTGCAGACTCTGCTCTGGCTGGTTGCGCAGAATCTGTTTTTGAGGCGCCTCAAAAATCTGCTCTGGCTGGTTGCGCAGAATCTGCAGATGGTGCACGGACGGACCACAGGGCTGAGGGGTGAGAGTGGGAAGTGGCAAACGACGATGTTGAGGGGTGAGAGCAGAGCACAGAGCCAGCAACTTCCTCGACAAGTGGGAAGAGGCAAGGAGGTGTATTTTGAGGCGCCTCAAAATACACCTCACGCGACGATGTTGGGGGGTGAGAGCAGAGCACAGAGCCAGCAACTTCCTGGTTCTTCACATGAAGTGAGGGTGTTTTTGAGACGTCTAGTTTTGAGGCGCCTCAAAACTAAGCACAGAGCCAGCAACTTCCTGGTTCTTCACATGAAGTGAGGGTGTTTTTGAGACGTCTAGTTTTGAGGCGCCTCAAAACTAAGCACAGAGCCAGCAACTTCCTCGACGAGTGGGAAGTGGCAACTTCCTGGTTCTTCACATCCCCATCACAGAGAACAGCCCCCCAATTTGACCCCCATCACATCCCAATCCATCTCTCTTGAGGTCTCTCTGCTTCTCACCTGCCTGGAGTGGCAACGACGATGTCTGGCCGTTACCTCAGAGCCACCTCCTGGTTCTTGATGGACAGACCCCCCACCACGAGCCCACAGCGAGTAAGCCTTGAGACACCTAAAGAGTACGCTTCCCAGCTCCCCACCAGGTTCCCACCTGCCCGGAGTCGCGACGACGATGTCTGGCCGTGACCTCAGAGCCACCTCCTGGTTCTTGATGGACAGACCCCCCACCACGAGCCCACAGCGGATGTCAGTGAACTGCGCTAGCTTCTCCACCATGCTGTGCACTCTGGTGGGAGGAGAGTGAGAAGGGGTGCGCAGGGGTGCAAAGAGGTGAATTTCACTCTCGTGGACTTTTAGGCTCTCCTGGCCTCGCCCCTCCACCCCCCCACCACGAGCCCACAGCGGATGTCAGTGAACTGCGCTAGCTTCTCCACCATGCTGTGCACTCTGGTGGGAGGAGAGTGAGAAGGGGTGCGCAGGGGTGCAAAGAGGTGAATTTCACTCTCGTGGACTTTTAGGCTCTCCTGGCCTCGCCCCTCCACCCCCCCACCACGAGCCCACAGCGGATGTCAGTGAACTGCGCTAGCTTCTCCACCATGCCGTGCACTCTGGAGGGTTGGGAGGAGGAGGGGTGTGCAGTGGTGCAGAGAGGTGAATGCTAATCTCTGGATCAACGTTTACTCTTTTACTCCACCAGCCAGCGGCGGATGTCTGTGAACTGAGCTAGCTTCTCCACCAATGCTAAGGTGAATTGAACCTTTGTGGAGTAGAGCATGGGCAGACGAGCAAACCCCCCACCCCACCACCAGCCCTCTGCGAATATCTGTGAACTGAGCTAGCTTCTCTCCACCATGCTGTACACTCTGGTTGAGACGGAAGAGCTGGAGAGGGGGGGGAGGAGGGGGGGGTGGGGGGGGGGGGGGATGCGAAGGAAAGGAAGTGTGAAGCAAGGCAAGAATCGCAAGCCCATATACCTGCGCCCAGGCTGCACAGCCTAGCATGGAGGTGACTTTTGAGTCGACTCAAAAGGAAGTGTGAAGCAAGGCAAGAATCGCAAGCCCATATACACTTGCGATATGCCTGTGCGCCCAGGCTGCGCAGCCTAGCATGGAGCAGTTGGCTGTGCATGAACCCAAAAGTTCACAGTACGACAAGCAAACAGCACTCACTGCACGGCCAGCTCTCTGGTTGGGGTGAGCACGAGGACACGAGTGGCCGCCACCCGCTTGGGGCGGAACAACAGTCGCTCCAAGATGGGGAGAGAGAAGGCGGCGGTCTGTGTGGGGCCAGGGGGCAGAGAGAAAGAACGCAAATAAAGGAGACTTGTGATCATAACAGCCTCAAAAGTGGCCGCCACCCGCTTGGGGCGGAACAACAGTCGCTCCAAGATGGGGAGAGAGAAGGCGGCGGTCTGTGTGTGGCCAGGGGGCAGAGAGAAAGAACGCAAATAAAGGAGACTTGTGATCATAACAGCCTCAAAAGTGGCCGCCACCCGCTTGGGGCGGAACAACAGAAGCTCCTCAGATAGGCAGGGCGAAAGCGGCGGTCTGAGTGGGGTGGATGGGATGGGAGGGAGAGGTGGAAAGAGGCACAGGGAGAGTGCTAACTGGAGGCGCCTCAACAGGAGCCGCCACTTGCTTGGGAAACGGACAGCGAGCAAGGAATAGCAAGGTGCCATTTTGGACAGCAAGCGCTCCAAAATGGGCAGAGGAAGAGCAATGCCGGAGCAATGCGGGAGCAGCACGACACGAGCAACAAGAGAGCAACGCACCTTGCCAGACCCAGTGATGGCGCTGCCACAGATGTCTCTCCCAGCCATGGCGAGCGGCACGCACACGGCTTGAATGGGCGTGGGCTTGTCATACCCCAGAGCAGCACACGCGCGCAGCAGCGGCCGCGACAGCTGCAGCTCTGAGAAGGACGACACAGAGAACCGCAACACACACCCAACACAGCCCCCCCAAACGCACCTTGCCAGAACCGGCGATGGCGTGACAGCTGCAGCTCTGAGAAGGACACGACAGGTCAACACACACACCCTCACACTCGCACACACACACACCCCCACACTCGCACACACACACACACCTTGCCAGAACCGGTGATGGCGCTGCCGCATATATCCCGGCCTGCCATAGCCAGCGGCACACAGGCCGCTTGAATGGGTGTGGGCTTGTCATACCCCAGAGCAGCACACGCACGCAGCAGCGGCCGCGACAGCTGCAGTTCTGAGAAGGACGACGCAGAGAACCGCGCCCCTGCCTCCTCCGCCCCCTCGAAATACACCCCCCCGCCTCCCCCTCCGCCCCCCCCTTCCCCGCCTTCTCCCTTTCCTGCTCCTTCCTTCTCTCGCCTGGCTTTTGCCTTGGGTGCCTTTTCGATATCTTTTATTTTGGGCTGCCGAAAAGAGCGGGGGGGAGGAGGGGAGAAGGGGGAGGGGGTGAGGAAGTCGAAGTTCAGAACGGCTCTGGACGTTTTGGTCTCAACTACTCAGCCCACCTGGCTTTGAACGGTTTGGCTCCTCCGTTGAAAGCTTCGTTTCATCAAAGGGTGATGCTTTCGTTAAGCCACACCATAGAGCTTGTAACTCAGAAATCCTCCCCACATCCCGAACCTGTGAAAAACCCTGACCCCGAAACCCTGGACGTTGTGCGAGATGCGCGTGGCTTACCTCACTCTCGCCGCGTTCCTTCCCTACCCATCTCTTCTAACCACGCTACCCACCTGTTGAACCCCTCTCAACCCCTTCTCGTTTATTCATACCTCCTTTTTAGTCTTCTTGTGACTCGCCTCTTCCTCTTCCTCATTTTCCTCCTCGTCCTCTTCTTCTTCCGCTTCGTCTTCCTCTTCCTCCTCATCTTCCTCCTCCTCATCCTCTTCTTCCTCTTCCTGTTCTTCCTCCTCTTCCATCTCCTCTTCGTCTTCCTCGTCCTCTTCCTGCTCCTCCTCCGCTAAGTCTACCTCTTCCTCTGCCTCTTCCTCCTCCTCTTCCTCTTCCTCCTCCACATCCTCCTCCTCATCCTCCTCCTCATCCTCCTCCTCTTCCTCCTCCTCTTCATCCTCCTCCTCCTCGTCCTCCTCTTCTCTCCCTCTCTTCGTGCTCCCAAGCCCCATCGCTCTCCGCCGTCGGATCATCTCAATCTTGGTATCAACGGACGTCGTTTTTCGCTCCTTAAACTCCTCCGCAAGAGTCTTCCCCGCGCCCTTGAAATCCCACGCCGCCACCTCCCCTCCATCCTCGTTATCGTCATCCGCGTCAAAACGAAACAGCGGATCCATTCGCCCCATGGCTTTCTACAGGGACAACCAGATACCGAATTCGATAATAATACCGCTTTTTACGGTCAATCCTAGTGCGCGGATACTAACTCGAAGCTACGAGCGTGCGAACATTCCGCAACTGGGTATCGTCTACGAGATTCTAGCCATTCCAATATTTTGGAGCAATCGCGTCAGAGTCAAGCGCGCGAACGCCGTGAAAGAGAAAGTCCTCGCCGACCGCGGAGGTTTCTAGGGTTCCTGTCGAGGTTTCATGTGAGTCGAGTTTCAAGGTTTAATCCAGAGGGGAACAGAAGTGCTTAGTTGTTTCCATATTCTGATTCGATATGCGTCAGCGTAGAATGCAATAAATTAAATGTTGCTAGAAAGGCACAGTGCCAGCGTAGCGGAAACGTGTTTGTAGAAAAGAACAAGATAAAAATCTTGCATTGATCATTGAAAAGTAGAATGATAACACAATGATGACTCAATGATTACTCAATGATGATGAAGAAGTGACACAGCAGGGTATTTATGCACCATGTACCCCTCCCAAAATGGCCCATTCACACCAATAATAGCGTACCAATAATTGTACCCTCTACCCTCCAATAATGTTGGGCTCCAATAATTGTGGCCCTACAATAATTGTCACAATTATTGTAGGACCTGGAGGCTTATAAAGAGGACTACACTAAAACCAAACAGCACACTGGTATACAGTATTCGTTATACTGTATTCGGATTTCCAACACTCCCCCTTGCTGTAGGTTTTAGTGAATCTGAGTTCCTTGGAGGATGGGGTGGTCGAGGTGGTATACCACCACAAGGTAGGGGTGCGCCCAAACCAAGTTAGGGTTTGGTGTTGGCCAAGCTGCTTGTCACTGTAGCACCTTTCCCCTCCCAACCTTTGGGCCTTCCAAACTCCAACCAAACCATCTTCCTTCACATTTTCAAATCCCTCCTTCCAATCTCGACATTCTAGATCGAGATCTAGAGAGTAGTGGCTGCTGCTGACGAAACCGTAGCAGCTCCATGACGAAATCTCCTTAAAAACCATGGCGGAATGCGCGTATCGTCATGGCGGAATGCCCTTAGCGCACGTCGAATTTCCGAAACCGTAGACTTTACGACACGCGATTGTCAGTGCAGCTGTCTTTTTCGCACGCCTCCTGTGCAACGACGCGAAACCGGCATCGGATGCGCGTCTGCGACGACTGCAGCTGGCGGATGACGCGAATCGGTAGCGGATAACGCATGGCGTACGGCTGGCGCGGAACTGCATTGGCGGGCGCACACTTCGCGCGATAGAAGCGACGACCTTGTGTTCGTTAGCGGCTGCTGCGCGCCTACTGCATCATTTGCCTGTCCGCGCCTGCTGCATCTTCGTAAGCCTTTCTCCCCATGCTTTGGCAATCTTGCCAAGTGTGCTCAAACTTCACCCATGTTGCCCTGTGATGCTCCCTATACACTCCAGCAGACACACGGTAGCAGCCAGAGTTGCCGAACTCCATCAGCTGGAGAGCTGCGCATGCGACACACTCCAAGTATCCCAAAACTCTGCACTCCATGTATGCAGAAATGTCCACTCCATGTGTGCAGTGCACACCAAGTATGCCGAGATGTGCATACCAAGTATGGAGAAACGTGCACACCAGGTATGCAGTAATGTTCACTCCCATGTATGTTCTCCATCCTTCCTTCAGATGGTGCCGTTCATCTGCAGCAACCAATCGCACAATACCGCTTCATCACGACGGATGACGCCGATCGGCTGCATCCTTTCTTCCTGCTCCCCCCTGCCTATTGGCAACCCTTGGTGAGTAGGTCTTCCATTATGCTTCGTGACTCCATGTCCCCACTCCAGCTCCATCATATACCCTCCACACCCCACCTCCCCCTCACCCATGTTGCTTGTAATCATCCGCGTACACAGCTACAAGCATATGAGTGAGTGTGGAGTTAGGTGATGCCATGTTGTGCAGCACCGTTTGAGGTGGCCGAACAGGTGAGTACAACTCCACAATCCTTGACTTGGCGATCATCAGCAGATGGTACGCCCGTTGCTGCACATCCCAAATTGATTTCAGCATCATTGTCTTCAACCTCCTCTGATACTGTCACTCCTGCTGTAGGTAAGTCATTTGCTGCAGCAATCTCCACTTGGGTTGCATCAGCTTCATCAGCTCCAGGTGAGTCATGTTCTACAAGGCCTGCTCATCTCCTCCCGAATCCACCGCGGACCTTTTTCCTTCTCCCCCTGAAGTCAACATCACACTGTGGGGTGAGACTTCATCCGTAGCAACATCATGTGCCGGGTTCCGCACGATGCTTGCTTTGTGTGCCATGCGGTAGGTGACAGATGCATGTGCAGACTTGCCATTCGAGTGCATCCCAGGTGTGCGGAAATCCGTGCTCCCATGTGCCGTCAATGTGCACACCAGGTGTGCGGAAAAAGGGGTAACCCCTTCACGATCAACCGGATTCTGATGACGCGCCATCACGGGAATGTCCCAGGATCATAGGCGGATGTAAGTACATGCGCATACTGCACCACGAGCACTCCATCTACGTCCTTGCCAAGTCCAATCCGCACGTACTCCTCTCCATCAGTCATGGTGATCTCGGTGTCCTCGCATTAGTAATGGTATTGATGCGCGCTCCCGTTTTTCAGCAGCTGACAATAGGAGAGCAGGTTGCTCTTCAGACCAGGTACGTAAAGGACTTCAAGTGTAGCGAACTGTTGTCCCATCAGGTGCATTGCTCTGATCGTTCCTGTCATCGTGCTGCTCAGCTCGCTCCCATTAGCGAGCTTCCAGCATAAAGCAGGTTTCGTCCAGCTCCCTTAACTCTTTCAAAACCAGCGCTTCTCCGAGGTCATGTGCTGGCTGCCATCCACTGTCCAGCAACCACGATGACGCTTTAGCTGGTGGTAAGGTAGCTTGTGAGCGATCCCACCGTTGCAATGCACTTAACAGTACGTTTGCTTGTCTTCTCCGGCTGCCCCTTGCTGTTTTGACGCATTATTGTCACGCTTGGGGCTGGCGACTTCCTTCGTGGGGAGGACGAACGGCTGTCTTGGTGTGCAGTTTTACCTTTCCGCGGGTATGCAGGTTCGCGCACCCCTGGTTGGTGTCCCAGGCCAGGGGGTGCTTGGTACAACTTGAAGAAAGGAATGGCATGGCTCCTTGCAGTACCACACACGAGAGATGAGGGCGGCCGTTGCATTTCCATCCTTGCCATGCGTTTTCCTGCCCCAATGGACAGCCTCCTCCCGCTATTTGCCCTTAAGGCAGTTGGAGAAGGTGAGCGGTCTCCACGTGCTTGTCCAACCATGCGAGGTGGACGCCGGTCACGGTTATCCTTCATGATGAGGTCGTGATACCTCTGCTCTTGAATCATCATCCGCTGCAAGGTGAAACTGTCCGTCACGTTGTGTAGCATTGCCGAGTGATGTGTCCCTCATCTTTCCTCCCAATGCGCCGGTAGTTCGGTGAGCAGATTTAAGGTGAATGTTACTCATCCACCATCTTCCCCGCGAGTGCTAACTTTTGTCCCGGATTGTCGTTGCGCGGTTCACGTACTCTTCCACCCTCTCTTGACTCCCCATTTTCAGGTTGTCCAACTGCTTCAAGAGAGAGACTTTCGCCACCGAATCTTTGGCCTGGTACGTATCCATTAAGTACTCCCATGCTTCATATGCCGGGCTATAGGATTCCTGAAACATGTCCAGTTGTAGCTGAATCGTGGCGCTCACGCTGTGCAGTAGGACCCAAAAAGCGAGCGCCGCACGTTGTGAGTAATCCGCCTGTAGCATTTCCAGCCGCTCCATAGCGTCGTTAATGTCACCATCTCCCATGGTAACCGGATACTGCAGGGTCACAAAGAACTCCCACAGATTCGTGACGCGAGCGTTCATACGAAACCGTAGCGCCCACTCCCGAAGTTCGAGCCATCAAACGGAGTAGTGGTGAACGCTTTGTCCACCGTTGCTCCCACCATTTTGCGTGACAGCCGTTCCTTGTCTTCTTCCGTGTATTCACGTGGAGAGCGGGGTCGAAGAGAGGAGGCACGGTTGACGGTCGAGGTAGCTGAACCGTGCGCTGCATATTCCCATTCTGTCCACCAA